ATTTTTTATATATATATATATATATATATATATATATATATATATATATATATATATATATATATATATATATATATATATGCCTAATAAATCATTATTAAGAATTATCACTATCATTATTATCACTATCATTATTATCAGTATCATTATTATCATTATTATCACTATCATTATTATCATTATTATCACCATCATTATTATCATTATTATCAGTATCATTATTATCACTATCATTATTATCACCATCATTAGGGGTTTCAGTGGTGCAGTCGTCAGAGCAAGCGCCTTTCACCTCTGAGTTTGTGGGTTTGATTCTCGCTACGGACTCGTATGAAAAGAGTTGGTCACGCATTTGATCATATCCACATGTAAATTTTGCACTATAGAAACGTTAATCCGTAATCGTAACCATCATTGCCTCACTACCACCATTACTACGATCATTATTACCCTCACTATCATCATTACCACCACCACCATCATTACCACCACCACCATCATCATTACTACCATCACCATCATCATTACCACCATCACCATCATCATTACCACCATCATCATCATCATTACCAGCATCATCATCATCATTACCACCATCATCATCACCACCTCCAGCATCACCACCTCCAACATCACCACCTCCAGCATCATCATCATCATTACACCACCACCATCATCATCATTACCACCCCACCACCATTATCATTACCACCATCATCATCACCACCTCCAGCATCATCATCATTACACCACCACCATCATCATTACCATCATTACCACCATCATCATCACCACCTCCAACATCATCATCATTACCACCATCATTACACCACCATCATCGTCATTACACCACCATCATCATTACCACCATCATCATCACCACCTCCAGCATCATTACACCACCACCATCATTACCACCACCACCACCATCATTACCACCACCACGACTACCATCATTCATGAGTACATTGCATCTTATTGAGTTAATCTGCTTGCTAATTGTCATTGCAAATGACTTTGAAACAAATTAATAACCACAATAACTTTTACAACATTGTTTGGTTTAGATTTGTGATTTTGGTTTGGCTCGAGTTGCCGACCCAGATCATGATCACACTGGAATCTTGACGGAATATGTTGCAACCAGATGGTATCGTGCTCCAGAAATCATGCTCAACTCAAAGGGTTATTCAAAAGCAATTGATGTCTGGTCTGTTGGTTGTATTTTGGCTGAGATGTTGTCGAACAAACCACTCTTCCCTGGCAAACATTGTATCCTTTTGTGCTGGTTCTTGCTTGGTGAACTCAGGGCGAACTAGTGTTCAAGATTGCAACCAAATTTTGAGCTTTTAGACAAGTTTATACTGTATTACACAGTTCGTTGAAGTGTTTCGCGTGATTTTTTTTAATTGTGATTTTTTAAAAAATTGTTAATTTTTTTTTTAAGTTCTACTTGACCGTTCACAATTCAAACGAAATTGAGCGGAAAATTGCGACAGCGAAATCTTTCTTGCAAATCGCGCAATTAGCGGAATTTCTACTGTTAGCGCGTGTCGATTTCTTGAAATGATTTAATTGATTTGTGAGCTCACGATAAAATACTCAGAATACTTTGGATAAATATCATGGTTCAATACATAAACATGTCGAGGTTGTTATACAGCCATATTTTCAAATATACTGTACTTTAACAATAAATGTACTGTACTGTGCTGTGCTACAGCAACTGTCCAGTCACGCATACGTGATAAAAAGCCGATATAAACTTTATAAACAAAACATGTAAAGCGTAACAGAACGGCGAACATGCAGATTCGGCCATCTCAAATAATGGTAATGTTGAGATAGTAGCGTTGCATGCTGCAGGAGACCCCATGGAAGACCTCCACCCCTCCTTGCGGATGAGGCTAGATCTGCCCCTGTCTTCCCTGTTGAGTAGTAAAATCGTCTGGTGTTAGACAGTTAGTAATTGGTGAATGAAAGCCAAACAACTGATGCTTGGCAAACAAATAAGGAGAAAATATACATAGGGTTACGTTGAAAATAAAATGCAAAACGAAAGGAGAAATTTCTCCCTAAAATTTTGGCATATTGTGCTATAAAATGGACTAGGAGATATCTAACGAAGGTACAAGTACAATCAATAAATAAATCATTCTTAACTATAGAATTACAGATTTGGATCAATTAAATCACATTCTAGGTGTTCTAGGATCGCCTACTTTGGACGACTTGCAGTGTATAAAAAATGATAAGGTACGCTGGAAATTTTAATATAAACAACACCGCACAAAAAGAAAGTTCCCTCCTAAATTGTTTCAGCATAGATTCTAAACAAATGAGTCCCTGATAATCACACCTGGTACCAATTAGACCTATGGTACAGCAGTTTGCCTAATGCTGTGCGAAGAATGAGCTAACCCATGCTTTAAAGTATGACTTATCTTCCATAGAATACAAAAATACCCAGTTGCAAAATTTTATTGAAATTGGTCATGTCAAAGCTCGTATATGAAGTAAAGTTTAATTTTTAGGCAAGAAGCTATATTCAAGCTTTACCTTGCAAGCAAAAAATTCCATGGAGCAGATTATTCCCAAACGCTAATCCCAAAGGTAAGATGCAAGCGTAATGTATACAATAGAATTACCCAAGACCAATCTTAAACGTATTTGTGTTTATATTCATTCGTCCCAGCCGCTTGCATACACGTGTATTATAAATAATACTTGCGACGCTCAGAATTAAACTAATTTTTCAGCAAATGATTTGAATCCATTTGGTAAAGACATAATTACTGTTTATGTTTTTCAATCAAATTGAGGTCAGACTCGCAATCAAGTTCAAATTGAACTTGATTTATTTTAACTGATCCATTCATTTTCTTTTTCAATAGCTCTGGATCTACTTGGTAAAATGTTAGCCTTCAATCCAAACAAAAGATATTCAGTTGAAGAATGCTTGGCACATCCTTACCTTGAACAGTATTATGATCCAACGGATGAGGTGAGTGTGCCGTTAACAACAGAGCGGAGAAATCGAGATTGATATCAAGGGCAAACTACAATACTCCGGTCTAGACAAATCTCTTGTGATGACTACTATCATTTCCTTGATATTTACAGTAGATCTTCTTTTACGCAGTCCATTGATCTCTTCTCATTATGTGTCGATACCATTTCAGCTTTGCTTTCTTCACCTTTCCTGCAATGTCTACCACCGCATGTCGAATCTTTTCATTCCTTAGTCCCTGACCCACTCTCTTTCATTCCTTCTTATTACGTGTCCATAGTCTTCATCTGTTTCTCTTACGTGTCTCAGTCTTGCTTCTCTTACCTTCTCTGTATTGTCTATCACCTCACATCTTCAGATTTCTTCATTCCACAATGTCCCTGACTGACTCTCCTTTGTCTCTTCTCATTACGTATACATATATTCCCAGCCTAGCTTGCCTCTCCTTCTCTGTAATGTCTACCACTTCGCATTACCTTCTGATCTTTTCATTCCATAATGTGTCTGACCGTGTACATGTCCACACCATCTCAGCCATGCTTCCCTCCCCTTCTCTGTAATGTCTACCACCCCACATCTTCTTTTGATATCTTCATTCTTTTTATTATGACTTTTTATTACATGTCCGCATTATCTCAGATATTCTTTCCTCATTTTCTCCGCAATGCCTACCACGCTATATCGTCTTCTGATATCTTCATTCCATAATGTCTTTGACCGGCTCTCCATCTCTTTCTATTACGTGTCCATATATTCTCAACCTTGCTTTTCTCACCTTTTCTGCAATGTCTACCACCCTACATCCTCCAGTCGTCTCTGGCTGACTCTTCTTCATTTCTTCTTATTACGTGTCCATATATTCTCAAAACTTGCTTCCCTCATCTCTTCTGTAATGTCTCCGCATCGTGCAACTTTGTAGGATTTTCACACTTTAACTTTCGGATTATTTTAATTTCAGCCAATCGCTGAGCAGCCATTCAGATTTGAAACGGAGCTTGACAATCTTCCAAAGGAGGAACTCAAAGGTAAAAATATCGTGTGTTTATTTATTTATATCATTTCTTTGTAAATTGTTCTTCCTAGAGGTCCAGTAAGGGTCCATCCCTTACTTATCCAGTGTTACAACAGAAAGAAAACGAAAGTAAACTAACTTTATTTCAACTGGATAGCGCTATCAGCTCTATTCTACTGTATTCTGCCTGGTGTAAGACTGTGTGCTTGGTAGAGTCAAACTGGAAGCGCTTTTCTCACATGTGACTGAGGCGAAAATATAATCACAGAACTCCATAGTGCAGGAATCGAACCTCTGTCACAGATGTTAGAGCCAGATGTACTAATCAATGTTTATTTACACTTTTGAGAGATGTAATATTTTGGTTTTATTGTCGTTGTATTTCTTACTTGAATATCTCGGACTATCCCTAAAATGAAAAGCAACCAGCGAAGAGGTCTATTGACATTGTCTGTCTAGGACTTATTAGTAATTGTTAACATCGGGCCTTGAAATATCGGTAGATCACGGACATTGTCCGATCCATTCGTGAAATTGTCTGACGTAGAGAGGAAACGACTGGACATTCTGTCCGGGCGACCTATAAGTGAAACTGAGGTTTACTGTTTGTCTGATCCGAGCGAATTGGTGCCCGACCTAATTGTAACTTTGTCCAACGTAAATCAAAATGTTTCCTAGTCCAGGACTAGAGGCTTGTATGTTAAATGGAGAATCAGAGTAATGACTAATGTATAAAAAGTGAACTGTGTAATCAAGTGTAATCATTGCAAAGATTCAAATAACTTTTCCAAATTGTGCTGATATTAATTTGCAATAATAATGTATTTACCTTCATTAATATTTATTTATATTCTGTTTCCTCCAATTTATATTTCAGAATTGATTTATGCGGAAACAGCCAATTTCATGGTGAAATAAAGACGAGGAGTATGGCTTAGTATAACTACCAGAATTAATGTATTATATATGAAATGTTTTTCTCGCGTGAAGTACAGTAGCAATTTTCTTTCTAATTTACATTTTTAAGTTATTTAGTCCCCTTTTCGACGTATGTATTTTGCCACATAGGCCCACATTCAAAGAGCTTTGAATGCGTGGTTACTGCGCGTGTCATGTTGTGTCAAAATTTGATGGGGCTTCAAGCTTATAGCTGAACGCCTTCAGGAACATTGTAAATAAACCAATAAATTGTGAGAACAGTTAAAATATAGTTCATTCTCTAAGTTTATATGTTAGATTGAATTAATGTAATCCAATGTGCAATGCGGTAATTTTACTGCATTTTGAATCCATTTCATGTAAATTATATGATTTTGTTAGATTACCTATACAAAATTGACATAATTCATTGATATAATTGGTAATACGTCTTTGACGAATTGTGAAATTTGATCGTCATTAGAATAAATATACTGTCAGCCTCGTTGGGTGCAAATGTATTGGAGTCCACATTTTGTTCTACTGCACATCGTAAGGAAAACTAAACTGAGCTAGCTTCATCCGATTCTTTCCTGGCGGGGGCATAGATATCTTATATACACTAGATAGTGCATCTAATTATTCTGCAATTCAAAAATTGAAGCCGTGATTGCAGATTCAGGATATTCCCATGAAATGAGAAGATTCGTATGTTTTCTATTTCTTAAACACGGAACTTAAACATTAAGTTAAACCTATCCCAAATACATATTCAAACTATTCAAATGATGAAAGTTATTGTTGTTTTTTAAGTGTTTATTAGCGAGTGGGAAACTCCAACATGGCTGCCATCTATCCGCCGGAATATTCTTGGCTTCAATTTTACTAAAAAAGATGTGCCATCTAGTGTATATAAGATATCTATGGGCGGGGGTCACTAGAGGCGTAGCCATCCCCAAACGAGCGGGGGGGAGTAGTCTAATCGTCCAGGCGCATGGTCCACCAGAAAATTTATATTTTTAGGGTCTGCGAAACGCTATTTCATGCATTTTAGACGCATTTTATGATAATCTGAAAGCCACAGGTTTGGTATATTTTATGGCCTAGATGAAAACATTTTAAAGAGATCCTACCCGCCCCCCAGTTTCGTGTTTTAGCTTATTTCATTAGTGACGAAGGATGTTCTGCTTCTCTGACCATAGCCCGTGAGAAATAAACTTGAAATCTGTTCCATTTAAGATGGTCCTAAGTTGAAAACAGTGTAGTTGTGACGTAATTACCGGAAAGGTCTATTGTGAGTCCAGTCTGCAAGTTTCCAGTGTTGTAAAATGTTTTAGCCACTCAATCGAGTAAAAGTTTATCAAAATTGTGCGTTGCGCCATATGTACTCAAGGGACTTCAATTTCAATCCCAAATGAGAATAATTTCAATAGACAATACTCGGACAATAGCCCAATAAATCGTATCGTATTTAGCTATGTTAGATCGCAGTGAAACAAGAAAGGTAGCATTTGACAGCTAAGAGCCTGATCTTTATTGGTATGAGAGGGGTAAGTGGGTAAACGTGGTATGTGGGGTGGGATTACCTTTTTTTATACAACCTGTATATGCTCAATATGTGCGAAACTTCAACTTTAGGCGTTCGCAGGATGATCGAACTGTTGAAGTTGAAATATTCTTCGAAGCCAGGGGACATATATATTCTTGTAAATAACGTATCTTTGCGTTCAAACAGTGCGCTGTGTTAAGGTGAGTATGATAACGTTATTTTGTTTGTTAAACTTTATTGAGTACAAATTAATTCAGCAAATATTCATCTAAACATGCAATTAAAAAAGTGCTGTATTCAAACGGACAAGGTGCCCCTCCTCTTCCTAACATAGACCTTTAATTATAAAGTCACAGTATTCTGTACAGGGTGTCCGAAACCACTGAGACAACGTACCATTAGAATGCGAACGCCCTAGCACAAAGTTGAACGCAAAAATGCGTTATTGAACAAGAATACACCATGAGTTATGAAGTGTTTAAATGAATAATGAGTGCGTGGTTAATTTGTTCTAAGTTAAGTCGGTTCGTACCAAGGTAAAGTTTAATAGGATTCAGGTTTAAGGCTAGGGAGTAGGGTTACTCTTGTAGACGAGCTAGTAAGATAGTAAAGCCGGTTTTCCACTAGGCGGAATTTTCCGCGCGGAGCAGAAGTTCTCTTTGTCTTTTCTAATTAGTTCCACCCGAGAAATCACAAGACAAAGAAAAATTCCGCTCCGCGCGCAAAATTCCGCCTAGTGGAAAACGGCCTTTAATAAGCTGGTTTTCCACTTGCGAATTTTTTCGCGCGAAGCGAATTTTTCTTTTGTCTTTATCCAATTTAGTTCCAGATGGTTCCAGTTGAGAGACCAAAGACAAATGAAAAATTCGCTTCGCGCGAAAAAATTCGCAAGTGGAAAACCGGCTTTAAGGTTACTGTGCTTCTTTGGCCATACCAGGAACTATCAGGATTATTTTTAGTGTGGCGGATATGTGCATGGATGTTTCCGAAGAGGGTTAAAAGCACCAAATTGTGCACAGTAGCATCTTTTTATGAGTAGAACAACATGCAAAAGTGGGGCCATCGTGAAACTGTTTTTTTTAGAGAGTTACGATGCTATTAGCATTATTTGCTATTAAATTCTACTACAACAAAAAATGTGAAATTTTGAATTCAATCGCGACAAATATAACTTGCATCATCAGAAAGCTTGTAAAAAACTACATAAAAGACTTTTAAACAGTTTGATTCTTCAAATGGTTATTGCTGTAAATTAGGCACATTATCTCGCTAAAAGTCCCTAATTAATTATTCGATGTTTGAAAATGCGTTTTTAACAGTTTATAATTCGAAAACTATTTCAGAAATAAAAAAACTGTCTAAATGTCTTATATGCAGTTTTTTATAAGCTTTCTGATGATGCAAGTCATATTTGTTGTAATTGAATACAAAATTTCACATGTTTTGGCTATAATAGAATATATTCAATAGAAGAAAATCACTAATCACCCGTTTTCAGGAGTTAGCCACAAAATAGCGATGGCCCTACTTCAAATATCTATTAAGCAAATAAAACTACATCAATTGTAAAAGTTTGATGCTTTTAAACTCAATGGGAACTACTGATCAATAATTTTACACATATCCGCTTCACTATTTGAGCATTTCAATGTTAAAGGGTTTTGTAGATTGAAATTTCGAATGTGAATTTCAGGATCAAAAAAATGAGAGCTTTAGAAATCAAACTATTGTTGTTAAGCACAAGAATTTATGCTCCTGGGAATTTGAAATAGCTTCTAATCGTATGAAAGAGCATAACTGCATACAAAATTGTCATTAGTCATATCAGTTAGAATAAAAATGATTCAACTGACCACAAAGCAACGAGTTTTTACTGTTTTACCGCTGCGTTAAATTAATCAGCACATAATTTATATATGTTGGACGAAACCAAGTTAAAGTTTTAAATAACTTCGTCATGCATAAAATTCACTTGTATTCTGTTTTACGTAATCTTGGGTTCAGCATAGTGCTATGGATTCAAATTCCAATAGCAAAGAATAAAGATCCATATAGAAGGGCCTCGCGCATGACGCATTACGCATGTTGGCCGCCATTTTCCTAGTCAGTCAATGACATTTTCTGCCCAATAAACACGCCGTACTGGCTGGCTGCTCCGCCTTCTGGCCAGTAAACTGCATATTTTTGCATAAAAAAAACGAGGACATGTTGCACCGCTGAGTGGCCCTTCTGTTACTGATCTTTATTCTGTGCCGATAGCTTCATTCCTAAAGGGCTCGTTTTTTTATACACTCCAATATGACTTATGTCACCACAGTGTTTTGTTCATATTCTCTAACAATAACAGGACCATTCCTAAACGTAACAACTTTTCCAACATCCAAGTAATATTCTTCCCCGCTTTCAACATCCTGCAACACCAGCAACCTCGCTTCAATATCTGCAGACCTGACGCAAATCTCACTTTCAGTCGACCCAATAGTGAAATCAATCACATTCCCCCGATAATGCAAACCACGAACACACAATTTGGTCACGTTTTCGGGAAGTTTCGGATTCAGTCGGATTTCATCGGGATGTAATCGTAAACCTCCGTAACCAAAGACAACTGCTTGTAGAAAGCCACCCATCCCCGTGATAAAATTTACTGCCCCGTCCCCTGATGGGTACTCGGTCCAGACCTTGAAAGGTTCGCGCACGTTTTGGTAACTCTCCCGAAACGATGTCGAAGCATTCCGGACGTTTCCGAGTTCCAACCAACCAATAGCAAACATCGCTTTAGTCATCGCCGGGCCGTCGGGATCCGTTCGTGGCTCGTAAATAACTAAATCGTTTTCGCGTACTTCTTGGGTCATGTTAAACATCAAAGGGTAACCGAGTAAAATCACATCAGCCTGCTTGACAGTAACGTTTAAATTATATCCGTCGTATTCCGGGTGATACCGAAGCGTAGTGTTGTATGGGATGCGTAACCGCTGTGCAATGTCTGACCAAGTCGCGGGCGCGGATGGCACAACCTTGCTCGCGAATTCGAGATTCCGCTTAGCAACCGCGTTTGTGAATGCTGAATTATTCACGTTGGAATGGTATTCATCCGGGCACATCACAGCGTTGATGACGTAATCGTTTGCCACGTCATCATACGTCACACGGCTAGCCCAGAATTCCGCGATACCGGAAATTAAAGGAATGCCGACTTCTTTCAACCATTCTTGGTCGTGTGTTACCATCCAGTATTGTTCCACAGCGAAACCAATGTCACCGTTGACGTGAATTTCGTAATTAGAGTAAACTTCTTCAGGGCAGACTGGACAGCCAGTGAAAGCACTTTCCCATGGAAACATTGTACCTGGAAATTTGATAAAGAAAATTTTGCTCGTTTATTAGGTAAAGTCGGATATGAAAACCGCTTGAAAATTCTTGAATAGTACAAAAAGTGGCTTCTTTTCCCGGGCAACTATACGCCCGGCAAAATTAGTAGATCTGGCAAATATTAGGCAGGATTTGTTCCCAAAGCCACTGGCGTAGCCAGCCCAACGATTCAGTCCTGCTATGCAAATATTGCCATGTTTATAAACTATCAACACAATCAATTTCTAAAGAAATGAATAATGATGAGTTGAAATTTGCATAGCGGGGCCAAATCGTCGGGCTGGCTACGCCATTGTAATAAATGATAGCACTATTCTATTTGATTCATCGCGTGTTACACTAAGATGGATGATATTGACAGAATGGCAGACGAACTATGAGCAAAATATCCGGCGTGATAGACATGATATGTCCATGTTCCCAGAGCCATTTACAGTTTGTCTGTCGCGTCCTTGATTTAGTATTTACACGGCGATGTCCATCAGTCGAATGATGTATCTTGATAAATAATTTATCTTTCGTAGACTTTAAAATTAGGTCGACCAATGCATAGTCAATCAAGATATTGTTTTGAAACACTGCAAAAGTCTTTGTTCTATCTTTTTGGCCATGTTTATGCAAACTTGCATTGTACACGGTTAAAGTGCCTATGACACGAAATTTCACTCCAAAGGTTTATGGTTGCATTGTAAAGATCACTTAAAATGACTTAATAATTTCTTTTATAGAATTTTGGTAACTTGCTCCATTTTCAAGATATTCAACTTTGTTTCATATGCAAATATCACCGGTGTGACATCACATCACATAATGAGTTTTCAGAAAAGTATAGTTTTCTTGACGAATACGTATCTAAAATACTTCAAAATTGCCCTTGTATATGTATTAATTTCATAACTGGTAATTAACACTCTGTATTTGTTTGTAAAAATATTTTATCAAGGTAAAATATTGCGTTTTCAAAATGTCATTATGCGATGTGATATGTCACACCGGTGATATTTGCATATGAAACAAAGTTGAATATCTTGCAAAGGAAGCAAGTTACCAAAATTCTATAAAAGAAATTATTAAGTCATTTTAAGTGATCTTTACAATGCAATCATAAACATTTGGGGTGAAATTTCGTGTCATAGGCACTTTAAGATAATATATGTTTAATAACATAATGAAGCGAATATCCGATGGCTTCATCTCATCAAATCACATAGTGGCATTTTGCATCATAGCACTCGTGTAAGGGCCGTTTACACTGTATAATTTTTGCTGCGATCTATCGGAAGAAGAAAAATCGCAGAAAAAATTACAAGTGTAAATGGGACTTCAAGGAAGCAAAAAAAACTTTAAAAATCTTGCATTTTGTCAGATGTGTTGAAGATTACCACAAACTGATACAAACATATCTTAACATCACTTGCTTAAAGTTCGGTATTAATAAGCGAATTTTTGAAAGATAAGGCTGTCTCAACATAAAATCGTAGCTTATTAAGGCCCGCCATTCCGCCTGAACGAGTTATAGAATGTGCAGAAGCGGGTACACATACTCAGTGGAACATTCACGACTCGATCATGCATCTACTCGTCCACATCCATCAGGGGCCAGTTGTTCAAAGGTGGGTTAGCGCTAACCCTGGGTTAATTTTAACCTGCTGTTTTAGTTTGTATATTTCTGTACGTGTTTATTTCAAGACTTCAGAGAAGTAAACTCCTATCGATCCAGACAAGATTTCTGAAGAAATATTTCCAAATTTATAGACAAGCTGTCAGGAAGTTTGCTTTAAATTTTACGTTAACCTAGGATCAGCTAACCCATCTTTGGACAACCGGCCCCATAAGAAGAAAATCGCAGTAGAAACTAGAAATCGCAGCACGCAAAAATTTCAAGCGGTGTAGACAAGCCTTTAAAATGACCTTGAAGTTTGCTGAATTTGGAAATTCTATATATCTTGACTGACTATGATCCATCATTAAAATTAAATCTTTATTTTCATTGCAGACATTCCTCCCAAATCTGCCGACCTACCCGATACATTATGAGTCTTGGCATTCTTCCTAGCCGCCCCCATACGTTGAAACCTATACAAGACAAGACTACGAGCTAGCTCTGGATACAACATCAGTAACGTTGGATACATCCATGTCTCCGTGTCCCAAAACGAGTGACCCCAATAGTCGTTACTGGAAAGACTGCCGGGACTCAGTCCGTATGGCCAAGATGAACGAATGGAGCTGGGTTGAAGGAAGAAAAAGACTACATCTCAAAATCAGATCAGTTTTATCAAATTAGTAAGTTTCAGTAAACTTATACAGGGTGTAAATGGCTGTGAACATAAAAATACTGACACTCGAGGCCGACTTTACACTGCACAACTTTTGCGTAAAAGTGCCGCATGCAACCTGTGATGCAACCTGCTTACAACTTAAGTTGTACTGTTAGGGATTATTCTAAGGATGTTTCACAACTCCACTGCATGATATCTCAAAACATTACAACTCTATAAGACTATATTGAAAGTTTTTTTTTTCTGTGTTGGTGTTGTGTACTCAGGTGAATATGATACTTGTGATGTTACTCTGAGTGTATATCCACACCGGGCGAGCTTTGAAAAATATGCCCGGCCACGGTGGGAATCGAACCTACGACCTAATTTGGAATGCTAGCCCAATGCTCTTCCAATTGAGCTACGCGGTCAGGACGGTTCGAGTAAGTGATATTTCGGAACAGAATCTAGTTCCTTCGATACCAATGTAATCTAGTAATATGATTTTTTTCTGTGTTGGTGTTGTGTACTCAGGTGAATATGATATTAAAAAACCATTATATTGAAAGGGTTTCAAGTATATTATACAGATATAATTAAATCAAGCATTTATACAGAGATTTAACACAAAACCAAATTTGGCTATGAAAAGCAAGAAATCACCATTCTGTACTTGTGAAAATCGAAGTTTCTAAATGTGATGAGCGCATGCCTCCCAATAGACGTTATGCATAATGACGTCACAAGGTTTGATGCCCGCGAGGAATGCTGGTCTCAGTAGTCATCGCCCGGGAAAATTAAACAATTCAAAATGGCCACTATCGAAATTTTCCCAGGCGATGACTATTAAGACCGGCATTCCTCGCAGGCATCAAGCCTTGTGACGTCATTATGCATCAGGTCTATTCCCTCATAATCTGATCTCCTTGTTGAGATGGGCAGTTCTAGATTTTTTCTTATGATGACCCCTCCATAAATAAAACAAAGGTAACTAACACAAAGAATTAGAATTTAGGCCGTGGGCTGTTGGCCAAAATTATTTCGCTTCGTGGCACCCATGTGGGAAATACTTGGTTTGGGGTTTATTTGAATGGCATATAGGTACATCGCTACCAAAAAAAGTTCCCAAGCAAAAAAGTTGCCCAATCCCGAGAAAATGGGTGACCAATGATTATCCTCTATTAAATTGTATTACAGCAAAAAAATGGGAAATTCTGTATTCAATTACAATAACAACTACTTGCATCATCGGAAAACGTACAAAAAACCGCATATAAGACTTTTAAACAGTTTTTTGATTTTTCAAATAGTCTTTGAGTTATTGCTGTTTTAAATGTGAAAATTGGACCAAAATGTCGCAATAAGGACTAGGTACTAGGTCAAAAACGCGTTCTTGACAGCGTATAACTCGAAAACAATTTTAGATATAAAAAACCTGTTTAAATGACTTATATGTAGGATTTTGTAAGCTTTCTGATAATGCAAGTCATTTTGGTTGTAATTGAATACAAAATTTACATTTCCTTGCTGTAATACAATTTAATAGAGGATAACCACTGATCACCCATTTTCTCGGTGTTGGGCAAGTTTTTTGCTTGGGAACTTTTTGTGGTAATGAAGCATGTATAGTTCTATGAATTGAACCACAGAAAATCTATTTCCCAGGAGGGTACCACGAAATTGCTTTTCTAGGCACTTTTTCGTACAACAGCCCACGGCCTAATTATGCGTATCAGTTATTCGGACTATTCATTTCGTAGATAAGAACAGTAGTAACTATAGGCATGTGAGTCATCTATGGGTGAAGTAGAACAATAACTAGGCACGTGAATCAGGGGCGGATCTAGGGGTTGTCAAATAAGTCGCGCGACTAACGTAAAAATTGCGCAAATAATTACTGATTCATAAAAGTGTCCAGTACTCCAGTTTTAATCCTTCCTGCAGTGATACCAAGTGTAATTAATATTCACAATAGTCCAGTTATCAAGTTTCATTCAGCGGTTGTAAGCTCAGTGGCCTTGACTTACTTGAGGCAGATTCTAGCCATTTGATTGGTCGAGAATGGTTTTGCCTCATCTTTGTGGGGGGTCTGCCTTATTTACGTCATCTATGAGGTATCTGATTGGCTGACGGAAGGAGAATTCTCCTCTCTCATTGGTTCAACTTTTTTGCCTCATCTTCGTGGGGGTCTGCCTTATTTGCGCAATATTTGAAGTTCTGATTGGTCGAAAAAGACCAAATTCTCTTCTCTCATTGGCTCATACTTTTTGCCTCATCTGACTCATTCGGAAAGTTTATTCACCGCGAAGATTAAATTGACGTACGAGTACGACGACAATATAAAATCATGTATGTGTAATAATACTCAGTGGTTCCCGCAATATAAAGTTTATACGAGACTGTCCAGTCTAGAAATGGTGAACACAGATCTTTTAAAGCATATCAATACTTCAATACAAGATCGATATATCGAAGAGCTTTTAGCCGCTATTCATACCAAGTCTATCCACAACTATATCACCAGAACCAGTCTCGCTAGAGATTTCAATTCGGTCTCGTCCCACTGCGATAAGGTTAGGAGATTATATTTATATTTTAGTTCATAGTCTAGTACTAAGTAAGCTTTAAAACCTGCTTAAAGTGTGCTTATTGACGGCGGTAATAAGATATAAAAGCAGTTTGGCTGCTTAAATTAACTGTGTATAATCATAGTTAAAGCTATAAAGTATAAACCGCTTTTGTGTTCGTTTATATTTGTATCGAGCAATATTTAATTGATGTATTAGTAGCGACAGAATCTGGAGATTTTGAGATTGCATGGTCGGTGTTATGCTGTGTTGTAATACGATATCTAGAAGTAAGCGGATTTTGTGATTGTTCGTGTGAAATCTTGTTGAGAATTGCCTCCGAGATAATCCTCAACACAATAGTTTCTTTTAGCTTTTATTCGACGCTACGAACTATC